ACACACACACACACACACACACACACACACACACACACACACACACACACACACAGAACAAATTCTGACCAAACTTACTGCACACTCAAAAGTAGATAAAATCTTTGGTATAAATTCGACACATTCTCTTAAAAAACAAAAAGCAAACACGGATAGTCAGAGAGAATTTATGGTAAAATAACATTAGGGTCAGTTTGAAAATGTGTCCTAATCATAGCTACTCAGCTTATAATTTGCAAATCAGGTAATTTAAAATGAGGGAAAAAATGCTAAGAGCCATTTTTTTCTAATTTCAGAGAGTTAAATTAGAGAAAACTTAAGTGTGTTATTAAGCTTAATGGGCTACTGATGGTGTGCTCCTTGACATGCTGGTAAATTATTTTTTCCCCTTGAAAAAAATCTAAAATAATAAACACTGCTTTGAATAAGAGAGAGAGAAAAAAGTGCTGCTCATCCAGTGATCCTGATGTTTTTAGAAAGGATTCTTCACTACTGGTGTCCTGATGCCGACCGGCCCAATACCAGCCTTCTTAAAGATACAAGTTTCAAAATATCCCCAYTTTTRAMATCACATTCAGCTCACTGTTTACAGAAGTACATCTGGATGCTACATGTTAGCATGTTGATTCTGAAGTTGTGCAATCAGAGGCAAGGGAATAATTTCCTGACATGTTTGTTTAYTTCAGTTTTACATTTTAACRTTCCTCTGGTCGGCTGCTCTGCTGCAGCCTGTGTTTATGGAACTGAAGGGAATCRTTTTCTAATTAACACWGATTTTTTTAARGCACTACACWTTCTTGTTTTTACTTAGAGATCTGCTATTTTTTGATAATTTTGTTGAGCACTTACCTAGCTTTACGTGTCATGATTAAACTGAGAGRTCTGTTTTGAAGGATGCGTGTCACGGGCCATCTTAAAATAGAATGTACTTTGAAATGACAAGATTAGTTAAGACAAGATCAACYTTTAACTTATTTTCTCTTTAGAACTCAGAGTTATTGTGAAAGGGTTAAGTCACACGGTAGAGAAGGTCCTCGAACAGTTGTGACGTATTGTCCCCGAAGGAGTGGTTGGACTTAGTTAACTGTTTAAATYTTTGCTGTTGTTCATGATTTGTTACCAAAATATCCTGAGACTGAGTTCAAGGTCTGTGTTTTGGTCCCTCTGAAGGCATTCGTAAGGCTTAAATCTTTGCAATCACATGTTCAAGTCTAAATCTGAATTTGTCTCCTGGTTCGTGTCTTGGGTTGTATTCAGACCAGGAAAGTCCTTTGGTCCAATTGTTTGGTCC